AAGACCATGTAAATATCCTATTACTTCATCAAGCTTTTTTCCCCCTTCTCTTTTTTTATTAATAATTTTAATGAAAATTTACAGAGCCTTTGGATTTCCATTCATTCATGGTTGCACTTTTCTCCCTGCCCACCCCTCTCCCCCAGTACACTCTTTGCAAAGTAAAAGTTCCCCCATTGTTTTACAATCCCTCCCCCCAGGGTCCACTCCACTATGCAGCCATCATTCTGGACTCCTGTCAGGATAATAATACCTAATCACATATCCCTTTTAAACAGTTCTCTCCCTCAACTGTTTCAATGCAATATACATTATTTATTTCATCTTTCTCAGTCTCCCCCCAACCCTGATGTTAGTCCTGTTTTACGAGAGAGGCACTAAATAAAAATAACTTTATCAGTTTTAAAAATCATTCTAAAAATAACATATAGCCTTTGCTACTATTAGACAAACATAAAAAATAATTGTAAAATGTTCATTGTTGTTGTTCGGTACCATTACGTTCATCAGGCTTTTTACACAATACTTTCACCTTTCATTAGTGATTCTTTCCTAAATCCGTTTTTACTTTGATGATTGCAAAACTTTTAACGATACAGGAGACTAATCCTTTTATTTGGTTAGTATAATATTTATTTACTTGAGATTATATTTAAAATGTTTGGAAATTCTCATGTGATGGAACCTTTTGAAGCCATGGTCTGAAACGTGTTATAGCTTGAGTTTTAATGTTTAAGAGTCATTGTTAGCCTTTAGCAATATAGGCTTACAATAACTTAATGAGATTAGAATCCATAAAAGTGTATACCAACAAAGTTCATTCAACTGTATTGTAAAGGAGCCCAGGTGCCAGTATGGTAAGCACTTGGCTGCTGACCCAAGCCCAGCTGGTTCGAGCCCAGCTGCCCCTCCTTGGGAGAGTTGTGGCAGTCTGTTTCTCTAGAAGGTCACTTTGAATTGGAATCAACTTGATTGTAATGTGTTTCTCGCATGATAGTTTTAAAATAAAAGTAAAGAACATACTATTTAAATTTAGCTTAATTTGTAGATGGTTCTAGAGAGTAGCAAAATTACTTTTTTAAAAAGCTCCAAAATTTAGGGTTTTTTTTACACTTAATGGGATTAACCCCATCTTCCAAAGAGAAATTCCTGTAACTTTCCCTTTCTTCTTCTTTTCTTTTTTTCTGTCACAACAAAGATGACTAGGGGCTGTCCCATTTATGTAGTTCTTTCTTGCTTGCTTTGTCTGTTTTAGGGGGCAGTCTCCTTTCTGGTGAAGCGGCTCAGCTCCCTGGTCCCAGTGTAGGTCCACTTTGGGAGAGGACAGCACCTGAGTCTTTGACACTCGCTTGTTACTGAGCTGCACAAGCCAGACCTCTTCTCATACTCTGTCTTCTTTTTTTTTTTTCTCTTTTTTTTTTTATAATATCTATAATTATATTTTATTAATTTTCATAAACATTTACAGAGATTTTGGGCTTCCACTCATTCACTGTTGCACTATTCTCTCTACCCTCCTCCCAGTTTGTTCTTGTCCAAATGCCACAGTGCTTGTCAAAGCCAGTTCTGATTAATCTTCTTTGTCAGTGTGTCCTTTGCCATTCCCTATCACTCCTCCCTGAGAGAGACTTCACCCTGAGTCATAAGGAAAAGGGGACGGCGTATTCTCTTAGCTACTTCCTGCTGAAAAGGGACGCTGTGGGTTTCAGGGTGAAGATCTTCTCTCACTACTCTAAAGGGCCCCTTTGGCAGTAGGAAACACATAGACTATTATGGAGATTGATTTTGGAATTCAGATGCACTCTTATTGATTGTGCTTGGCTGTACATGTACATATCCTTCAAGATGTATCATGGGGGTGTTGCAACCTAGAAGACACAAATTTGACTAACAAGTTATAAGTACATGAGTCCAAAAATTATGGAAAAGTAAAAGAAAAGATTCTTTCATTGTTTTACAAACCCTCCCCCAGGTCCCCTCCACCATGCAGCCCTCGCTCTAGTCTCCTGTGATGACAGAAATACCCAGTTACATCTCTCTTTTAGACGGTTCTCTCCCTCCTCTGTTTCAGTGCAGTATACATTATTGAACCCATCTTACTCAGTGTCTCCCTAACCCCAAGGACAGTCCCATTCTACAACAGTGGCATCATGTAATATTTGTCCTTTTGTGACTGGGATATTTTACTCAGCATAATGTTCTCCAGAGTCAACCATTTTGAATAATATTGCATGAGTTCCTTGTTTTTTAATGCAGCATAGTATTCCATTGTGCGAATATACCACAGCTTCTCTAGCCATTCGTTTGTTGATGGGCACTTAGGTTGTTTCCAACTCCTTGCTATTGTGAACAAAGCTGCAATGAACATGGGTGTGCATATATCTGCTTGGATGTCAGCTATGGTCTCTTCAGGGTATATTCCCAGTAGTGGAATTGCTGGGTCAAATGGTATCTCTATTTGCATACTCTGTCTTCTAATGACCGGCATCCAGTGGCCTCCCTCACTGCCAAGGACCTCTTTGCTGGAGGACACTAAAGCCAACTGTGAAAGGGTTCAGGTAAACCTGAATGCCCGAGCTGTGCTGTCTTTTACTGCAGTGATGTTACTTAGGATTGCCCAGTCGTTCACTGGGCTTGAGCACAGGGGGAGACTGTGTGAATGGCAAAGGATGAAGTGGAATTTGGCTTTGGGATCACATAACAATAGCACTTTGTTCTAATCTCTATGTGTATGTCATAGCCAGGATAGAGGTTATCTCATTTAAGATTCTTTCTTCATTGAACAATATCCTCAAAATGACTAGCTCTAATAATCTATATAATCTCTAATAATCTAATAATTGTGGCTATTGCTCGCAGTAGGGTGTGAGTTGATTAGATTTGACCTCATATTTAAAAAGGCTTTTGGGTGCAAAATCTGGAGCTATTTCCAGGCTGGGAAGATGAGTGGAATGGCTAGATTTTGCAAAGGTGTGTTTTCTGGTTTGAGGTTGAGACTGGGGTGTGGTTATTGCTTGCAGTAGGGTGTGAGCTGATTGTTTGGCCTCATATTTAAAAAAGGTCTTTGGGCCCTTGGTCCTGTGTCCCTTGGTCCTGTGTCCCTCAGGCCTGGTTTTTTGTGGATCTCCCTAATAAAACAGGCTTGGAGGCAGGAGGGGCAACCACTTCCAAAAATAGCTTGCCTCCGGAAACTCTATGAACTTGGAGAAAAGATGAACGATTCATGTTCAAGACTTGTTCACAGGGTCACTATGGGTCATCTACGACTCTACAGCACTTAACAACAACAACAACAATAATCTAAAGAAAATTTGTGTCTGGGGAAAATTGATAAGGGTAGAGAGATTTGGGAGTGTTACAAAAAAGGAGGGGACCCGCAGCATTGGGGCCGTTTCTCTGGTATAATACGTTTGTTTCATGAAAAATGCCAGGTGTCCCAACAGGTTGGTAGGAAGGGCCCTTCCGAGCCGCTCAGCACACTCTGCTCTCTGACTCAAGGCACTTCAGTGTATGGTTTTTATCTGTTGGAGGAGCCCTTGGATGCTGCAAGCAGTGAAGTGCACAGTGACTAACAAAAACGTTGTTGGCCCAGATTCGCCCACAATCTCTGCAGAAGAAAAGCTGGCTCAGCTGTGGTTCATGAGTCATAGTTGACTGCTGGCAGCTGGAAAACACCCACTTCTCCTTTCATTTCTTTGAGAGGAGAGGTTCTCCGTTCCTGAGAGCAAGTTTCGTTCCAAGAAGTCTTGCGTGTTTTTCTGGATCAGTGGCCTGTAAATATTTTAGCTTGCAGACCTCTGTCACAATTACCCAGTTCTATCACCACAGGGCACGAGCAACCGTTATTGTTGTTGTTAAGTGTCATCTAGTCGAGTACAGCTCATGACGACTCCATGAACAAGAGATCTGAACTCTGTTCTATCCCGCGCCAGCCTCATCATCCTCCACACATTTGAGTCCATGGCTGCGGCTCCTGCACAGTCCATCTCCCTGTCTTCTTCTCTTTTCCTGACCCTCCACCTTTCCAGGCATAATATCCTTTTCCAGGGAATAACGTTAGATAATACATACACAAATGAGTGTGCTTGTGTTCCAATCAAAACATGATTTACTTTAGAAAAAAACACCCACATGAATTAGGCTTTCAGACGCTGCTGGTCACAGACGTCTGCTAATCTCATCGTCCCAGGTGACCTGATTGAATTATGTTTCCCCATGTGTCAACTTGAGTGGGCCCTGACTTCGGTGAGTTGGCCTCATGATGTAACCGGATATGATCGACCAATCAGTTATAGGGGATTAGAGCGAAACACTGCACTCTTCCTCTGTGGGAGTGCTGACCCTGTGAGAAGAGTTTCCCTGGGGTGTGGCATGTATCACCTTTCCTCTTAAAAGAGACTGAAGGAGAGGGAGAGGGAAAGGAGCAGAGAGAGAGCGGGACCTGGCTGCCACCGAAAAGAAGGGTCCAGAGCGGAGCATGTCCTCTGCACTGAGAACCTCACCGACCAGGGGATGATTGATGCCCAGACACGTGGAGGTCTTGAAGGAATGCTTAGCCCATCGATGGAGAAAGGAGACAAAACCTTTGTCCAGGGCCAACAGCGAGAGACTCGGCTGGCACTCTAAATTCAGACTTTTTTTATTTTAATTGATATTTTAACCAAAGTTTACAGAAAACGTGGCTTTCCGTTCATTTATTATTGCATATTTTCCTCCTACCCCCGCCCCTCAGTTTGCTTTTCTCTTCAGAAAGAGTTTTGCACAGTTTCCTCCCTCCTCTCGCCACCCCACCCAGTCCACTTTGCTATGCACCTCTTTTTCTGGACTGTTATCATGCTAAATTCAGACTTTTAATCCCCGAAACTCCTAGACAATACATTCTTCTTTATTAAAACCCTCTACTTGTGGTACCTCTGTTACAGCTCACTAGGTGACCAAGACAGCAAAGTGCATGCAGTCTTCAGAAATCCATCTCAAGTCTCTGGTTGCAGGAGCCAATAATGTTGCCCAAACCTGGAATCTATTACTTCCCCTGGGAGGTCAGTGCCGGCCAAGTACCAGATGGGGGCTCGCTGAGAACATTTGGCAGGTAAGAATTGGGAGGCAGAAGGTTTAAGTGGCTTCTTTTCTAAAAAAGAATTTCATTATCATTTTATCTAATCATAAAAAATGCTAAAATTGAAAACATTCATTATATAAAATGTATTTACTTCATAAAACTGCAAAAGAAAGCAGGCAAAAATCATCTTGAATCTCACTATTACACTGCTAACCTTTTGATTCCTATCTTGCCGACTTTTTCATGTATGTGTGTATAGATGAGTCTCGTGTGTGGTGGTGTGTGCTGTCGAGTCAGAACCCACCCGAGCTGACGGCCCAGCGGATTTTCAGAGGCAGCAATTACACGAAAGGAAATTGCCCATCCTTCTCCCTCAGAGCAGCTGGTGGATTTGAACCACATGCCTTTGGTATTGCAGCACCGATCAGTACCGCTAGGCCATGACAGCTCATATATACACACAGTACATGGCGTATATAATATGTTATTGTGTTTGTTAAATATTGTAATGTAACAAATTACTCCCAAATTTAGTGGCTTTAAAATGGCAGTGAATATTTATTACCTCATAGTTGCTGTGTTCAATGCTTCTAACCTATTCTTAAGATGATTTGAAAGTAAAGAATAGGGGAGCTCTGGTGGCCTAGTGGCAAGGAGCTGCAACTACAATCCCAGAGGCACACGGTTCGAATCCACCAGATGCTCTGCCTGGAAAAGGAGGGACAATCTCTTCCTGTACCAGTCAGATCTGATTGACGGTACACTCACACAAAAATAAAATTAAAAAAAAAAAAGAAAGTAGAGAATATCAGAAGAATGTCTATTTTGACTTTCTCAATGCTTTATTGACTATGTAAAGATATTTTACTGTGTGGATCATAACAAGTTATGGCTGAAATAGAGAAGAATAGGAATCCCAGAACACTTCATTGTACTCATGCAAAACCTATGCCTCTACCAAGAGGACCTGTCTATTTAGCATGGACACAGTTAAATAAAAAAAGGTATAAAATGGGACTAAAATGCACAACAATGCAAGTAAAAAATGTTTAAAAGGTTAAACTGCTTTTGGCCTGAGGCCATATACACATGAATGTGATAAAGGTGGAGAATGAAATTGGAACTGTTAATTCCTTGAAAGTTTTATGTGCTAGGCTTTTGTTGATTTACCTTTATGAATGTTACTGTTTCTGGGGTGTTGTTTTTTCTAATAGTAATGTTAAGATTCAGAGCTCTGGTGGCCTTGTGGCAAGGAGCTGCATTGCAGTCCCGAAAGCACCTGGTTCGAGGCTCCCAGCTTCTGTGCGGGAGAAGGATGAGCAATCTCCTCCTGTGCAATTAACTGATTAACTGATTAACTGATTAACTGCCTCTGAAAACCTGCTGGAGGGTCAGCTGTGGGTCAGTTCCAACTCTGTGGTACACAACAACAACAACAACAACAACATTAAGATATATTGTATAGGGAGCTCTGGTGGCCTAGTGGCAAGAAGCTGCACTGCAATCCCAGAGGAACACGGTTCGAATCCACCAGACGCTCTGCCGGAGAAGGAGGCGCAGTATCCTCCTGTACCAGTCAGATCTGATTTGACGGTACACGCACACAAAAATAATAAAATAAAATAAAAAAAGATATATTGTATAGTTAATTAAGGTTTTTGTTGGTTTCTGTTAAAATGTATGATAGAGATGATTGCTAGATATTGTGAACTGATAAAGTGTGCAAGTGTGCCCTGCAGTCTGATTGGATATGCTGAAAAGGAATGATTTACCCTGGAGAATGCTTGTTGAAAGCAGTAGAACTAAAGGGCAGGAGTTTAAGCTGGGGAAAGAGTAAGCTCATCCAATATTTGCATGAGCTTTACATTTGAATGGATTAGTAGATGCACCTTGGAGAATCTCCATGCCTATTCAATCTGTAGGCGGGGAAGATTATTTGAGAAGCTGGACTCTATGAAGAAGAATGTGGCTTCAGGATCGGAGGAAGACTCATCAATAACCTGCATTACACAGATAACATAACCTTGTTTGCACAAAGTGAGGAAAACTTGAAGCACTTTCTGCAGAAGATCAAAGAATAAAGTCTTTATTATGGATTGCATCTCAACATCAAGAAAACAAAAATTCTTACCCCTGGACCAGTAAGTAACGTCATGATAGATGAAGAAAAGGTTGAAACAGTTAACAACTTCATCTTACTTGCATCTATAGTTAACACCCTTTTTATGAGCAGTTGGGAAATCAGAAGACTTATTGCACTGGGAGAGTCTGCAATCAGGGACCTCTTCAGATTATTAAGGAGTAGTGATGTCAGTTTGAGGACTCAGGTGTATCTGACTCAAGTCATGGTCTTTCCTCTCACTTGCTATGCATCTGAGAGCTGGACAATGAATAGGATGGCAGAGTTCTTAATGTTTTTGAGCTGTGACGTTGGAGAAGAGTACTGAACATATACCATGGACTGCCAAAAGAACAAGCAAATATTTCTTGGAAAAAATGCAGCCTGAGTTGTTTGGAGGCAAAGATGATAAAGCTTTGCATCACACACTTCAGGCATGTTGCTAAAAGAGGCTGTATTTGGAGCGGGACATCATGCTTGGAAAGGTGGAGGATCTGCAAGTGAAAGGAAGACCCTAAACCAAGCAGACTGACATGGGGACTGGAGCAATGGGCTCTTGTGTGTCAGGATGTGTGAGGATGGCACAGGATAGGACAGAGTTCTGATCTGTTATTTGTGGGGTCGCTATGGGTCCTACTTGACTCGACAACACCTAAGGACGACAGTTTCTGTGGGTCAGGAATTTGGGGGTGATTTAGCTGCGTGGTTCTGGGATGCATTGCCTCCTTTTCCTCATGGGGAAGATAAGACTTCCATAAAGGTTTACAGGCTTGGCCACTTTATGGGGCAATTCATCTCTGTCATAAAGGATTTCCATGAGTCAGAAGCAACTCAATGACAGTGAGTTTGATTAGGTTTTATAGGTTAGGTTCGAGTTAACATTGCAAATGAGCAATTAAAGAGAAATAAAGATGTGATGGGACTGCCATCATCTGAAGTTTTGCCAGGGATTGGAGGCCCGACTTCTGAGGTGGCTTGGTTACATGTATGACAAATTAGAGCTGGTTATTAGCCGGAGGCCTCAGTTTTTAACAATGTGGATTTCATCTTTGATCTGCGAGAGGGTCCTCATGACATGTGGCTTGTCCCCTACCAAGAACTCCGAAAAGAAGGAGCAAAGTCAAAGCCACTGTGCCTTTTATGACCCAGCCTTGAAATCACAGGCAGTTCTTTCCACGATGTAACACCAGTTACCCAGGCCCACTCTATACTGTGTGGAAGGGATTACACAGGACATGAACATCAGGTGAGAAGCAGTAAGAGCCTTCCTGGAGACTGGCTAGTTCATACCCTCCCACCAGCCACTAGCATCAAGTTGTCCCATAGTGACCCTATAATGCAGAGTAGAACTGCCCCATAGGGTTTCAAAGGCTGTAAATGCTAATGGGAACAGATTTCCTTGTCTTTTTCCCATGAGGCAACTGATGAGATTGAATGACCATCCTTTTTGTTACCAGCTGAACATTTAAACAACACACCAGTTTCCTTGACTATTACATGTATATATTTATATATATGCACTTAGAGCTATTATAACTTATGTTAAAAGCTTTTATCCTATAGTTTTACTAAGGAGATGCATTGGAACAGTGATTAAGCGTTTAGCTGCTAATTGAACATTTTATAGCATTTTTTAATTTAACCATGTAGCCCCTGGTCCATGTTAAATATACAAGTCTATGTTATCATTTTCTTTTTGAAGGCAAAATGTCAAGATAGATTTATTAGAAAGTTATGTCCCAAACCTGGATCAGACCTTTCCTCCTTGGAAAGAAAATAAGGATGAGGCCACATTATCATTATTTAAGCTTAATTTCTTTTT